GGGAATATATTCGTTACAGTTAATGGAATGGTTTATCTGCATAATCTCTGTATCAATCATACATTCTGCACAAAATATTGAAAAGAAAAATTTGCATATTCTATTTCAGATATCTTTTTTTTTTAAATATAATATGACAAAGCCTAAGATACAGAGCATACAGTTACGCCACATAAATTATATTTAAATTTTATGCATTCATGTTGACCCACTTTGTGACCAATTAAAGTCTTTCATTTGCTTCGTTGAAATTAAATGTAATTAAATTTTATAGAGAGTTTATAAAACGTTAACTGCATCTAACTGAAACGGTTTAACCTGAATGTTACCTATTTAGCTTAGGACACACTACTGCAACAATATAGCTCATAGCTCACGAACATGTAAAAAATCATATCACCACCTATCACATATTGTCATTGGCCAATAGAATGATAACAATCTGTCACAAATCATTTCCTTTTGAAAAATATTAAATATAATTACAGCGATTGTATTTGCCCTAAAGAGTCAAAAAAAGATTTTTTTTAATCTGAAAATTAAAACTTCATTATTAAAAGCGTTTGTTAAATTAGCAAAAGACGCATAGAAAACGAATTTTATCGCATGAATATTCTCTAAAATTTCGTAGCCTAAAAAAATTAAGAAAATTTTTTATATAATCGTATTATAAATAACTTTGGAAGAGTTATTTTTATATATACCATTTCACTTAGCAAGCTTCATGATGAAATCCAAATATCAAATGAAAGAGAGAAATTAATTAACAGGAATGACAGTAATCACATCAGTAATATGACGGTAGCAGTAATACCAAGACACTGAAAATTTTCGAAATTAATCACAGTAACAAGTTGAATTAATTAGCAAATGATATCATTTATATTTTTTCTCCTTCTGAAAGCTCAGTTATATGTAAAACTCTGTTCCAAGCAATTCTAAAAATTTCTTGCTGACTCTATTAATTCTGATACGAATCCAGAAAATATTTACAGTTGATTAATTCATTGGCTTATTAATAAATTATTACATAGTGAATGTCACACCAATGTTAACTATTTTAGTAGCTGATAAAGTCTAATTAGTAATTTCAAAAGAATTGTTACTGAGTTGAACTAATTGTAAAGTTGTTCAAATTTTAAAATATCAACAAACCTAACAAAAATAATCCATGAGGGTCTTTCGCGATGAGCAAAATCACCAGGGTTAATTCGTGGACAACAATCAGTGCCACAGCATACCTCCGTATCAGCCTTACAATTCCAAGTTAATGATTTCGGCCTTGAACCATCGCTGAATTGTACCTTGAAAATCAAAACTTGAATAGCTCTTTTTAAATTTAGGTTTTAGAACATCCATAGTTCTATAAATTTCTAGAAATTTATGAAGTGATATATGATATGACATACTGTTTTAAAGAATTGTTCTGTCGTCATAACGGTCGAGTTTGTGGATTCATTAGTAGTCGACATTGAAGTTGTTGAATTTTCCTTGAAAAAAAAACATGAGATAAAGAAAGAAAAAAGAAAGTAAACTATTAAGTTTCATTTATGAAGCATAGAGAATTTTTTTTTGGATTTAATTAGAAAAATTATTTAATCTAATCTTAATATTTTTTAAACTTTGATAGCTAACAAGACCACTCATTGCTCTTAAAATCTTCAGTCAAATGCTTATCTTGAAAATCTGAATTTTTTAAAATCTTGCCAACCTGTAACGACTTCACTACATCATCAAGCGGCACCGAACACATAAAATAGCCTTTCTTGGACTGATGATTTCGCTCATCAAAATAGAAACTTTGACCATTTGGTGTTCTCAGAGGTTCGGAATTGGAACGAAGAATTGCCTACAAGAAAAAAAGGAGATATTTTAAATATGTTCATCAGAAAGTTATATTAGGTATTAACATCGATAACGCTTACTATATCAATCGTACGTAAAACTGTACATGAAATGATAAATGAATACGTTCATGGTAGACTACAAAACAATCTAAGTGGATGATAAGAAAAATGTGTAAAACAATAAATATTAAAAAGATTGCTCTCAAAATATAATTTTAGCTATTTCTATCTAAAAATTCACGTGAATTGAATACCGTATTATAAACTTCATGGTTTCTAATTTGAACAAAGAAATGTAAATTACTTTTCAAATTCTATAAAACGATATGAAAAGGATAACTTACCTTTCCTATTTCAAAAGTTGCCAAACCTGCGGCAGCTCCAAGTGCACCACCAACAAATGCTTTCCCAAATGTTCCTTTACTGGACGGTCTAAAACTTTTCACTTTTAAAATCATTTAATTTTCACTTCATTTGCCGATTTAAGTTTGGGAACTAAAAAAAAATGAAAAAATGGGATTGTACTAGCTAGTTTATATATTTTTTCAAGCATTTTAAGCCACTGAACTTTTCATTGCATTGCTCAGTTAACTGAAGAACTTAGATGAAACAATTTACCAAATTTCATAAACTAATAATTTTTCTCGATCCTTCTCGGGATTAAAAAAAATTCTTCCTTTCTCTTTTAAGCACTTACTTTTGCATAAAATTGCCCTGATGACCTGCAGGTGGTTGGTGATAACTATTTGGATGCTGTGAATAATGGCCACCCTGTTGTGGATAATGACCACTCTGTTGTGGATAATGACCAATCTGTTGTGGATAATGACTACTGTGCTGTGGACGAAAATTACTTTGCTGTGTGCGCTGAAAATTTGCAAAAATTAACGGATATTATATTACAGTAGAAGAGAACTACTTTTTTTTCTGATTTTTTTCGCTGATACCAATGATTCTTTCGTATCATAGATAAAATATTAATTATTGCTTTAGTCATACTAAAACATTAATTTAAAAAAATAGTTGTTTTAAATCTTACGATGTAGCATATCGATTACTATCACACTTAAATTCAACAATAAAAAAAAGAAAACTAACCGAACTTATTCGTGCTCCGCTTGAGCCACGATTTCCTCCTCCACTAATTTTAATTGCATTAGTGATTGACGTAGTAAGCAGTAATATGCAAATAATAATAATCTTATACATCTTTTTGTCAAGTCAGAAATGCTGATCTAAAAAAGGGAAGAAGTTAGTTCTAAGAGAGTAAGTTCATATCCTGGTATAACGAGTAGTACTCATTGCCCTTGCCACTTTTAAAATTGTACAAAATTTACACGATTAAAAATTCTTTTTGTCTGAGGCAATTTTAAATATTAATAAAATAAGATAAAATTGTAATCAACGATCATTAAAACCAGAATTAACAACGAGTTAAAAGAATATCGCTCCTTTTATATCACATTAAAAATCAATTCTTTCTAATAATAATCTATCGAAATTGTATTTATTCAGTAATAATCAAACTTGGCCATAAATAATTAAAAGGAAAAATACTTAAATTAAATGAAAATGTTGCATTAAAAAATTGTGATACAAAACGCTTCAATAGCGCAAAAATATGGTGAATGATATTTGATGACTCGGTTGGATGACAATAGAATACATTAAATGAATGTAAGGTATTTAATTACAACAGTTACAGTAATGAATTCTATACAGATCCATTGATCATTCATGTAAACACACATACAACACACATACGTACACACGCACACACACGCACACACACATACACACATGTAGAACATGTATGCACGTGTAGGTGATACATCCAAACCTACATTAATAAAAAATGGGAACCAAAGATTAAATTTAAATTTATACCGAATTGTTTTTGCACTGTAACTATTTCAGTGCAGATATATATTTTTCGCTCGATAAATTGAGATTTAAAGGTATAGGATTTGATAAATATAAAATATTGGAAGTGTTCATCCTTATTCCATTCATTCCATAGAATCTTTGTGGACATTTTCATTGAGAGATGGAGGATTTAAAAGCACCGAGAAATTTTATGTGATTCAGGAACTGACTAATGAATGACACATTATTTCGCACAGAATTGTCATCTTTCAATTCTGTTATTCAAACCCAATGAAAACAGGAAATTAACTGCTCAAAGCTTCTTCTAGCAGTCTTACCGTTTATTGTCTTTATTTCACGAATAACATACTTTTAATAGATATCTCTTCACATTTTCTCATTTCATCAGTCATTGTTAAACAGAAGAAATTCGACTGATTCTTTCCATCGATAAATGTCCTTTAATTTGCCTAAAGAATTCTTTAAAAATCATTAATTACACGATGCCATTTTCTTTCGTTGCTCTTTTCATCTGAGAAGTCGATATGAACGGTGTATTGCAATGGTAAAAGGTGAAGTTATGGTAAATTGCGCTGACTTTTTTTGAAATGAAATAAACATTTTTATTTGAGGAAATAGAATTTTTGTACAAATTTTCACATTCATCTGAAAATGTTTGTGAAAAAAAATATGCTAAGTGTAAAATACTTGAAAAAGAATAGTTTTTTGTTAGAAAAGTTATTTCATAATAAAAGGATTGCATTTGACTTTATAAATTTTAACAATAACAAAAAACAAAAATAAAAAATGAACGGTTGTAAAATTCTGATTGTTGCAAAACTTTGAAACTATAGAAGTGAATAAACTTACCAAAAAATAAGCTTAACCTATAGCGCCTGAACTAACTTCTGTTATGAAGTCAACAAATGAGCACATTCTCGGATGATATAAAAGTCCCATCGTATGATTAAACTGTCATAAAAATAAAGGAATTTTTGTAATACAATTCATTTCATAGTGCTAAAAAAATTCTGCCAAACAAATAGTGTCTATGAAAGGAAGTGTAAAATGAAATGGTATTTGAAGTATTGATGAATTCAAAAATTAAGGACAATTTCTCATTATTCGTTTCTCTTCAAAATAAACAAAACTAAATGTCCACCTATTTTTCTACTAAAAATTCTTTTAATTTTTGGATCGATAATTTTAAATAACTTATTTAAAGAATAGAATAGTGGCTTGATAATTTTAGGCAATAATCGCTAAATTTGCTAATATTTTATATTCAATAGTAGGAAATTTTGAATTAATAATCTTAACAGTGAGATGAATTTTTAGGAAAAATAAATTTTTTTTCCTCTACTTTAAAACAATCGGAGATGTGAAATGAAGAAGGAATGATTGATTCATTTGTTCAACTGTTATGACATTACAGATGATGCACAAAAGTGATAATATTTCTACACACTGAACTGCCAATAAACAACATGAAATCCTTTGGTTAAATTATCATTTAAACGATCCAACAATATCTGTTAATTCTCGACCATCATATTTCAAACAAGAAACACAGCACATTTAGGATATTGTTCACAGAATTATCAATTATTATTAATTAGCGGTTTGAAATCATTTAACACAAAGAGTAACATATAATTCTGTGCATAATATCAAAATTAATCACAGAATAAAAAACATTAGGGTAGGTCATCTAAGGAATGGTCACAATTTTGTTGGCAAGATGGATCGTAGTAAATAGAATGGGAACGACCTGGCAATCGATTTTTGATCTTTTGGTCGGTATAATTAAGGGAAACAGAAAGGTATAAACGGTTCTTAATGAGTTGCATAATACAAATCTACACTGCACTGCAATGCATCTCTTTGTTTGTCAGTAATCGATAATGCCCTAAAACTGTTTGTCGGATCGATCGATAATGTCGAATAATGTTTATCGAACACGTAGGAGTTGTAAAAAATATGCAAAAGTTCAAATCATTTTGCATGCCAGCAAATTCTGTTTTAATTCGGTTATTTTGCGGACAGACACAACCTTATTTAGCTAACTCACATCATTAAAAGTCATTTTTAGCTTAAAGTGGTTAATTTTCTTCATTTTTTAGAATTTTCGTACCACTTTTTTTTTACTTTCTTTACTTCTTCTGCATTTTCAACACCATTACCTTTATGATATAAGGCAGATGGAATAGGTTAAAAGACAATTATACAGAAATGAAAACTTCTCAGATAATATAAATATAACATTTGTCTGCAAAAAAAAAAAAATCAGCAATAATTCATATAATGAAAGCAATGCAAAGTTTAAATGTTTAAAATAAATTTAAAGTAAAGGGGTGAAAGAATAATATGCATGCATATTATGAAAGTGTTCACTCAATTCTATAAAATCGATTACTAATAATCGATCATTTCCAGTTTCACCTGAGAGAGTGGTTGTTATAGCAACGGTACTATGAAAAGAATGGGACATTGGAGAGGTGGCAAAATAAAAATTTAAGCATCAATTTTGTCATCAAATCAGGTTTTCATTTTCAACGCCCACAATTGGTTGCTTGTAACTATCAGAGAAATTAGAAATGATGGATCATGGAAGTTTGCTTGAAATCAGTCAGAGGAAGTGAATAATGACATCATCGATCATTGAACTGTCATCTCTCATTAAAATGAATAAAATAAACATTGAAAAAATTTTGAAATTACATGGATGAGATTATTAACGACTGTATTGAATTTCATTTTTTATCATATAACAGTAAGCTAAATGAATTAAAAAAACTGCAAAAAATGAGCTCTTTGTTTGTTTGTTTCCTAAATTCGGCAATAATTTGAAATTTAATTTTTTATACAGCATTTTTGAAAAACACAATTCGGAAATTAAACTTTTAAAAGATACTGTCAATTATTAACTCGTTCAAAGTGGAAGTAAAATATGTAAATTAACAAATGAAAATGTGTTCTGTTCCTAAAGTTTCATGAAAATTCCTGAAACTTTATCAAATGTTCAAAGAATGGAAAAGTTTGCCAAAATGGCTGACGCTAAATTTTGAATGGTAAAGCTTGGAGAAGAATTTAATGCAACTTAATTTTGTTAATCGAAAACAAATATATCTTAAATTCTGAAAAATGTAATTTTTTCTGCGAAAAAAAATACATTTGAAAATTCATGAAACTTTGTCAAATTATTAGATTTGTTTAATTGCTTGAAGTAACCAAATTTTATTGAAATTTAAAAAAATGCCACTTTCTTTGCAATGACAAATTAGGTGAATAAAAAAATTACATGTATAAAAGAAAAAGTACTTTTTCAACAAACGTTGAACAAAATCTTTCATTCTAAAAAATTGTTTGTATTGAACTGAATGAAATAATTTTCACCGCCCTGCTAATCTCTTGAGACAAATTCGTTTGTTCTGGCTCATTTTCTCGTTTACTCAAGCCTAAATTTTTGATCCCTTAGTTACTATTTGGTATTGCCAGCCAAGGAAATCAACGAACGCTATTCGGATAAAGACCTTTAATGATGAAAAATCATAATTTTGGTTGTAAGGTATGCCAATAAACAGCAGGCCTGCTCGTAGTCATCATTTCAAGCCACTGCTTCTGGCTAGCAACATTAATTGTGAAATCGTTCAGAGATGGCGAGCCAAGTTTCACTTCACCAATAAAATCATTTTTACTCATCTTGTCATAGTCCCAAACACTGATAACCAAATTCACTTTCTGCAAAAAATTTTGAATGAAAGAATAGTTTCAATAAATTAATAATAACTAGTAATATTGATTGATCAAAATGTTGTTATTATCTATTGAAATTTTACAACTGAAAAGTATTAAATTTCACAGTGAATCGAAACGAAAATTCACTTCTAATAATTCTTGTTCCAATTTGAATTGAAAGCTTTCATTGTAATATGGATTCAGTGTTTTGTATTTTCGTGTTGTCTTTCTCTTCGCTATCAATTTCCGACCATTGTATAAATGTATTTTGATAAATGGATCTAAATGTTAGCACAAAAGTTATGAAATTTAAATGTGGTAGTAAAGCAATGCTTTGAAATTTTCGAAGTTTGAAATGTTTTAATTGTTAACCTGACAGACCACCAACATCCATTTTCTTAAGATTTCGAGCTTCCATAATTGTTACAGTTAAAATCATTGTACTTGGTCGATATCGTAAAGAGAAACAGAGATCACCAAGTCTTGACTCCTAAAATTTTATGGACTCCTCAAATTTAATTCAAAGCCGTCCTCTCTCATTCTTTCAAACTATTTTGTATTTTATATAATTTGCATCATCCCAAGCGAACGTCTAAATTACTCGGTAAAGCTTTTATCGAATAATTTTGTTAGTTTTAGATTTGAAGCAGTAAACATACTATGTTAGCATCATGTTCTGGTGGATTTAATCGAGACCATTCTTTCACAGTCATACCAAAATCAACTTTTTCCAGTGGTATTGCTAATTGACCGATTCGATCATCCTTTCTTAATCGATTAAAATCATACACAACCAATTGAAGTGTCTTACGTTGAAGTTCCGCGAATGTTATCTGTAAGGGTAACATTTACAGGTTGGAAAGCGAAATAAAAAATGTGACAAAATGAGATTTAAAGAATTTTCAAATATTTTCAATCTTAATGATATTAAAAAAACGGAGTTGTTCTCAAAATTTTTTCAAATATTTTCAATCTTAAATGATATTTAAAAAAAGGAGTTGTTCTAAAGAAAAAAAAAATTAATTAAAATAAAATAATAACTTACATTAAGAAATAAAATATAATAACTTACGTTAAAAGCGAAAACTTCGTTAAAAATTGGATTTAAACATTTTCGCTTAATTTTTGTTTCAAATTTTGGCTTTCCCTCTGGCAGCAAATACAGTTTCACGTACGGATCTGACATTCCGTTTCGATCCATTGCCGGTAATCCTTTACACTCAAAAATTGTCACTGCTAGCTGCAATAAAAAAAGTTTTTCATATGAACAATAATTTACAATCACTCATTGAAACATACATCACTTTCATGTCATGCAAAACTTCGACATTCATATAAGTTAGAAACGATAAATTACTTTACATTATTGTCGTGTGCGAATGAATGAAACAAAGTTTCTTTATGGATCAAAGAGCATTCTTGAAGTAAATATTTGAAGTATTTGAGGTATCTGTTTTGAAACTATTAGTGGAATTAATTTTGGATACAATAAAGATCTAACCTTACTGCTTCCAAAATCATAGTCTAATTTGTAGTGAATTTTACCAAAGAATGGTAAATCGCTGGAAGTGTTGGATGAAAAATCCGGCTGTACGGGAATTTCATTTGAAACGTTCGGTATTGGCTCATTGAGAATTGCATTCTGCACAGTGCGCTGAAAATATTTTCAAATAATGACAGCCAAAGAACTTATCCGGAAAAGTATTCATCAAGTGTAAAGATAAAGTATAAAAATACGGACGAATATGGACAGAAATAAATTCTTCAAAATATAATTTCTTGAAAATTCTTATAAAGATGAAAACAAACCGAAATTTTTTGTTTTAAAAAATGTTCAAAGGAGGATGGAAAGAGTGCAAAGAGAAATTAAGAAAAATAATATTGCTAAAAAAGAAAATTGAAAGCTAACAGTGTGTGATTTCGATCGTCTGAGACAACAAGTGAATAACCGAAATGTCGTTGAATATAACGCTATTCTATTTACCCACATTATTAATATTCATACCGGATTTGGCAGCTATCATCACATGCAAAATATGAAAATAGCTTCTGTGCTTCTATGCAAGATGAAATATAACTTTGCAATTTATAATTAATAGTAACAAGAAAATAAAATGAAACTTCTTATTCATTTTTGATTTCCTTCAAATCTGCTGGAAATTGAAAGAATTTTTGAAAATTCTTAACAATGCATCATTCAATGATTGATCCGTTTTGAAGGAATGTTATAAATGTACTCAAATGAATGACGGTGGATTTTTACTTGTGGACATCGTTACTTAAACTTACCTTTATCATTTGCAATTTGGCAAAGTACAATTAGAAACATAAATTCATCAAATCATTCGAACTTCATTATTTCAATTTGCCTGAAAAATGAAATAATAACAAGTCAAGTTTTAGCATCCATTCTTCCAGAAACCAAAAGATTTATATAACAGCAACATTTGGACAGAAAGCACGTTATAAAAATTAATTTGTTTACTTATTTACTTGTAAAAATTCTTGGCTATTAAATTTTTAATTATTTGCTAAGTTCCGGGTTTTCATTTTAAATGATTTGTTCATTTTATTCAACGACAACAATTATTGCTTAAACTATTGAAATTTTGTAGTAATCCAGGATTAACTAAACTTTTAAAGTACCAATCTATTTTCCGAAACTTTTACGATTTTGATGATGAGGAAGGAAAAAGAAGGTTGCATCAGTAATAAAACTTCAAATACGGTATGCTTAATTAAGACCACGAATCAGGACTCGTTTAATGATTGAAGAGCGAAATACTTGAAGATAATACCATAGCTATAAAGTAATGATAGTATTGGTGACCTGAAAGGTCGATGTGAAATATTTTATTAGGAAATAAATACCTCATTACTCTCTCTTGCCAAATTATTTCAAATTCATTTCCTATTGCAATTATAAATCACTAAAAATGGTTGACTTTAACAGTCAACTTGAGAATATTATCTATTTTAATTTCTGCAAAAGTTCTGAATATGAAAATATTATCATTCTCCAAGAAATTGGAAGCATTAAAAATTTGCGGTAAACAGTACATTGAATTAGAATTGTAAATGAAAAATATATGAGAAATAAGATTTTGAAAAAATGTATAAAAAAAATTAAGTAACTATAACGATACGTGTTGGGAAGGGTGACAAATAAACCGGAAATAAGAATATGGGATAGGTTTACTGTGTTAAAATTTTAAGAATTTCTAAATAAATCAGAATTATTTTCAACCAAATTACTATGAAACAAACAAATTATTGTTTGGCAAACATTTTTTGATATTTTAAACAATAATATTTTACGTACGGAAAATGTCATGAAGTATAAGTTTCAGGCCAACATTAGAAAGAAAAGATTGAATTATGGAAAAGATCTGTACCATCGGTACCAATCATTCCTTTAATATTTTTAAAATCTATAGAAATTAAAAACAGGCTAACAGCTATTTACTTTTAAAAATTATGTGTAAAATGGGTTAATTTACATATTTAATGTAATCCGTAATTAGATTTTCCAAAAAATAGGTAAGAGTGTGGAAAGCTCTGATATTATGAAAGTAATGGAAAAGTAATTATAGAAGTGTTGCAGCTAGGCTTAATTTTCATATTTAATGACAGATGATCAAAGATGCAAATACTATTTGAAGAGGAATAAGTTTCAATAAAAGACTCATCAAATAAAGACTGAATATTTGTTAATTAAATTCTCTTAAAAGAACATTCACATTTTTGAATGACAGTAGAAAAGATAATGGATGTTAGTAAATTTAATTTAATATTAGTTCTTATAAATGATTCATGGGAACAAAAATGCAATTTTAAAATTTGTTAACCGTTTTTTAAATTAAGAATTAAGTGTAGTTTAAGTATTTGTCAATAATTTATTAATTACAACCATAGAGATTTGCATAAATATTGGTGTCATCGATTTGAAAAAAAAAACAAAGATTATTTGAAAATTTTGATAGATGATTCCAGATCAAAAATTATGTGATCATGATTGTCGCGAAAGTCGCGAAATTTCAAGAATATTATAAATGGTCAAGTGTTTAGATATATTTATATATACACATATATTCATAGATGTAATATTACTCTGTCCTAATACATGTTCATACGTGTCAATTATGATGTGCCCGTGCAAACCAATAGTACAGTCAAATGATTCATTGTGTACTTGCATATTCATTCCCATCCTTCCCTCCAATTATTGTACTACATGATCTCC